TGATGGGAGTAAATAAAACATTGATCCGACTACGTTTTCTGAAACATCTCATAGTCCTTCCAGCAGGACGCTACTCCAGCCCACAGAGCCATGTTTGCCCGCGAGTGGTGCCGACGACAGCTGCCCGACTTCATTGGTGAAGAGGAATGGTCATCCTATTTTCCAGAGCTTGACTCACATGAATCCCACGAATGGTCCCTGTTTAGAAGAGGACCTGTCGAGTTTGCAGTCCCAGTTTGGAGTCCTAGAATGCAAAAGCTGAAGGACGGCTGGGAAGAAATGGAGAAGGATACCTGCGTGCCACATGCGATCAAGTCGAAAGCAAACTTTGACTTCTATTCGCGCTCACAGGGGATATTTTGAAATGCGACTTTAGCATGTTGTAGCACATAGTGTTAGCTAACGTGCATAGAAATTCCATCGTCTTTTGCAGTTGAGAAGTTTCAAATATATTGCTATAAATTGGCGCAAATAATTTTGGGACACCCTGTACTAATATTTCATTTTGCCGAAGTATTCGTCGATTTCCCTGCTCTGCGTCACGCATCCAACTTCTCGCAAAATTGAATAGCTGATGGGAAGGCTAGTAGGCTTACTTACTTTGGGCTCTGCGGGCCATTAACCTACGTATTTCCCTGATTTTTGCAAACGAATCAATGATCATGGAATTCCATCTCTTGGTTTGCCAAAAAATCAGTGCTTACCGATGGAACTGGAGTACGATCAACCGCCACAGCGTTAATTTCGTCGTCGATCATAACTGTCGACATTACTTGCGTTTTTTGTTCCTCAAGCTGGAATGCAAAATGTTGCAGAGGTTATTTCATATAGCAATTAGATAGAAACGTAGCTTTTTTCCCAAACAATAATTTTATTTATTAAGCATTCTACCAACAAACCACGTGAATTTACATGACAGTTGGATGCCCTTCCTTTTCACATTTTTTTGGAAGGAATCTCACAGGAGAGGCCACTACTGACAAGGATCCTGGTATCTCTATGCTTCACCCCTTCGCAAGGCATTCTTATAGTGAATCTTCCAAAATCTCTTTACCCATATGTTTGACATAATATGATTATCATGAATTAAGGAGAATTACCAGTTTGGGGCCAGGCTTGGGGGATGGCTGAGCGCCCGGAACAGGACTGTTTCTGACATCTCCGATCGGTGCCTTCGGATTGTATTCGAATTTCAAGTCGCGCACGGATCTGAGCTGAAAGTACACATTTGTGATACAATTGCACTCGAAACTATTATAGTTCACTATAGTAAGGTCTTTTTCGGGAAGAAAAAATAAAAATTATTCCCATGGCCACCTTGAAAGGTGGGTGTTTCCTGTCCTACGAGAATACAATGCTTCTGTGCCGAACACGTCTATGAAGGCATACTTTATTTGTATGATGTTCCGACAAGTTTATCATCCTCAAAAACAGCTGAACCTGACTGAAAAAGCCCCATTGTTTGCAAGGCTGAAATTTTTCAATCTGCTCTTTCAAACCATTGCAATGGGGCTTCGGTGAGATCTACCGCAGGGTTGGCGCAACGGTTGCAGAGAGCAGTTCGGAGGGGACCACGCCCATACGTCCTCAGCAGAGCGCCGGTATGGTAATCTTAGGTACTGAGCTTCAAAAGCTGAACACCCAGTCCAACATTGCGCGCGGTCTTCGATAGACTTTAGTGTGCTTTCTTCCTTCCTCCTCGATTCGAAAATATAAGAGAAACGAGCCATGCCAGGGAGCCCACAGATTTTTATTCTGAAAAACTTCCTTCAGCAATCCCTCTTCAGCCGTAGGAAGTATGTGGTATAGGTAGCGAAGGAATGGTGAGAATAGCAGGCGAGGTTAAGATATTTCATTCAAATGTTATTTATGCCTCCACTGTGAGCATTATCTTTGTCTATATACCACATAGTTGACCATCACCCTCCTGCAATCGACGGTTGGCTCTGTAAGGTTGTGTCCCTTCTGGGAACCTACTGTTATCTCCGCTCCCATATGATAGAGTTCTGATTGTGAGTGCAACAATTCTCAGTTTATAGTACCCTCGAGACAGTAGTTTTTTTCTTTTATAAGTAGATTCCCTTTTGTTAGCTCTTGTTCCAAGCCGCCATGATGTAGATGCTACTAGGTAAGAGCTGAATTATGACCTCTCATCTCTGGATGAAATTGGAACCTGCTCCCATGTTCTCCGATTCACATGTAGAAGATGCTCAAGCGTACTTTGTGGGCTTAGTACCGGTATGGGCTAATTAGCTCGGTACGTGCCTCTGCATCCCACCAAGTTATGCCGCCTAGCATGCAGACTGTCGAGTGTTGGCGGAGCTATCCGCGGTGGGCGAGGTTTATGGAAGATAGACGGAACAGTACAGGTAAAGTTTTGCTGGGCTTAGTCCTGCAATAGATCTTCACTTACGTCTGTCTTCACTAGGCTTCTGTTCTCTTCAACGTATCTCTTCACCTCCCCCATGTCATAACCTTCCGCAGGTGGCAACCCAGCAGGTCCCAACCAGCCACTTGGTAGCGCATCTTGGTGAATTTTTTCCGCCGATTCTTGGGTTCGTGCAAGTTTGAAATCTTTTTCTTTCGATTTAGATTCTGTGCTTTCTTTCGATTCTTTAGACTGTTTGTTGTCACCATCGGCTGATTCTGAAACGAATATAAGGCATTTTGTAAGTCTTCATAGGTTTCTGAAAATCAAACACGAAAATTGCCTTTTGATCCAGCTACATTTTCTTGAGGCACTGTCTGAAAACATTATATAGAAGAAAAACAAAAGTAACTCATGATAATGGTCAATTGAGTACTTTTTGTAAACCATGGCAACAGGGAAGGGGAGGGCGAAATCACCAAATCATTAGAGCGCTAAACTGTGCCGTTGCCACAAATCTATGCCGGACACAGTAGCTTAGAAGACTAGAGGCAGCTGCATTTTTGTGCACTCTGTTTACTAGTAACCTGATTGCTCTTACAGTCTTATAGTAGGTGGTCGCCGAGAGAGCAGTAGACGATAGGAAATGATAACAAGTGATAAAGGGCGGTAAAGACGGTCTAGAGAAAGCCATTCCTGCAGAACTGGTTATACCATTCCCCGTGATGATAAGCATTTCTACAGATAATGATAAAAGTGATGCGATGTTAGCAAAGGATAAAAATTGAAACGGTGAGGAGCGCTGATAAGAGCTATCAGTACGTGGAGAGCGGTAGCGATAAAATATGCTGAACTCTCCAGAGTCATCTGATGACAATATTTCAGGTGTTGTATTATTGAACGGGTTAAGAGCCACCAATCGGGAAATGAGGAATCGATACCAGGAAAACGGTCCCCGCTTCCAAGTGGGACAAATGGTTCGTGGCTGGGCACCTAGCTGAGTAATTCTACGTACAGTGTAGCAATTCTAATAAAGAACTCAGCTTAGGGTAGGAGAGAAGCAGATAGATCGGAGGATAAGAAGGACTAACAATTGTTAAGAATTGAGCATTCAGTCTATATAACCTTTTACACATCCTGTAAGTGGGTCGATCGACATCAAGGCCTTGACGAAAAGAGTACCTATGACCGTCTTTATTGGTCCGTAAATGATGGTAAGAATGAGGAATTGTGGGTAAGAGGAGGTTGGGCAGAGTAGGTGGATTCACTCTTAGCAGCGGGATAGTCCCATGCAGTCTGTATACGAAATCGAGCGAAGGTTCGCACCTTTTTCGTAGGTTTAGCCTTTTTGTTGCAAGTTGTGATCAAAAACTGAAAAGTACACCTTAATACATACTATAAGTAGCAAGCAGTGAACTCTATGGAGTAATGCGCACCTGAGTAAAGAGAAAACTTAACCATAGGTAATGTATTGAAAAGCTGTTTGAAGCGATATACTGCCACATTTTGAATAGACTAGCTAAAAATAAACCACCCCTCGAGAGGCACATTAGAGAAGGATAAAAAATGGAGGTTACCATAACCAAACGATGATTCTGAGGAATCGCGTTAACTCCTCTCCATCCACCTGCGCGATTGTTCCCGAGAGCTTTGTGTCCACGCTTAATTTCCCGCTGATGGACGTGTGCCTTCGAGAAGTGGACAAAAATCATTTTTCAGATTCAAGAACAACAGCTTCGATTAAATGGAACAGATTCGCTCAGACGTCAATTTCAGTTTGATGAAGAGATAACGACGCCTATTCTTGCTGCTCCACCCAGGAAACTGTCTAAATCAGAAATGAGGGTACAGAAGGGCATACTTCAGTGAAATGCATAAACTTATCTGTCAATTTAGGGCGAAAAAATCTAGACAGAATCGCGAGAATTCGGTATGGATAAGTGCCTGGGAGGCATTGCTCGTTGAGTAATTAGTGACTGACTCAAAGAGCTCTTTTATTACCCACAACAAGCACATCTTCTCACTTTGTCGAGAAATGCCAAGTAATCAAAAGCTGGAGTCAAACGAATTTTTCGGTGGATTCCTCCCGAAGCATAATTCGATACAAAAACTTCGATAGAAGATCCGATTCACATCATCAACAGATCATAGACCTTGAACAACACCTCTTTTCACTACTCGTTCCCTTCCCCAATCAAGGATCCTGATTGTTCCACTGTAGAAGTTAGCTGTGAACGTGAACTTCTACAGGCCTTCAAGGGCTTCATTTCTTATCAGAGCGGAGATGCTCTGATATTCGAAGTAAACACTTATCACTCAGTATTATCAACAGACCAATTTTCGAACAATTCAGCGGTAAGTTCCATTGTTTGTGATGTCTGAAAGCCAAGCAGCCTCTGTACGATCCAGCCGATTGAAATCTGTTGCGATTATTGCCGTTGGAGTCGGCTTGCTTACAGTTTTAGCTGTCTACATCTATCGGAAGAAGAAAGGGGTGAGCCATGAATAACTATTTCTTTTGGAAGAGGTCAGTGATTGAGTAAACGAATGTAATGCTATTTGTCTTTCAATGATATGACATTGGAGTGAGGTTTGAAAGAGTGCGAGTTGCGCCAAGAATTTCATTGCCTAAGTTTATCAAATCGAAGGATCCAGAATCGAATTCTTTCCCCACTGATTGGTGAACAGATCAAGGTCTTAATTTAAAAAATCAATACTGGATGATAGGTGAAAATGTGGTTGGAGGGAGCTTTTAACAGTTCTACGTCTCTATCGCATGAGGCTAAGGGGCAGAGGTGGACGGACAACGAGTGGCAGGCCTATAAAGGCGCTTAGAAACGATTCTGTGCCGGAATGATGAAGTTTTGTCTAGGGTTGATGAGGGCTGGAGCACAGTAAAGTATGAGATGCCGACCTAGGACGAAAGTTGTGATGGAGGGGGAGTTGATCAATAAGATACATGAGATTACTGGTTCAATACCATCTTACAGAAAAATCACAGACAAGGTTGTGGAAATGTCTAACAATTTGGAAGATAAACTTGTTTAGAGATCTGCCCCACAAGGAAAACCGAATCCAGGAAAGCCAACTCAGGAACTCGAGCATTTCGATGGTCCTGTTATACGTCCTCACCGAATAAAAAGTCGGTTTCTTGGAATCAACAAAGGGTTTCTCTCGAAAAAAACGGTCTTCTTTGCAGAGAATAATGTTCTGCGCAAGCTCAAACGTGAAAAGTCTAAGTCGATCGGTTAGCTGGATTACATGGAGGCAAATTCCTTTCAAGAAACGCCTAAAGATACAAACAACTTGTATTCTCACTATGTCTCTGCTAGCATTTACATTTAATGAACGATTTATGCAGAAGTTTCTTGTGCCGTCAAGGCAAGAGAGTACGTACTGGTTGACTCTGAACAGATGGGTCAACTATCATCCTTCCAACATTGAAAATGTCTGCCTTTACAACAAATCTCAGGAGGAATTCTTTCGCCGATCTTCGCGAAGGTCCTCGACTCATAACCATTTCCTACACTTTTTGATACCAACGGGTGATAGCTCAGACGCAATTGGAGATATTCTGAACCCGACACAAGTGAAGCCAGAATTCTAACTTATGGGCATATGAGTTTGGGAAGCGAAAAGCTAAGTGTTCTTGATAGTTCATGATTTAAAACGCAACCTATGACGAAGCAGCACTAAACTCTCACCTATCGCTTTTGTACCTACCGCACACATCTGCTTCTGAGGAGCACCTCAACTTCTTGGATTCTGTCTATACGATCTTTTGAGCGAAATACTAAGTTTGGGTTTGGGTTAGTTTGGATTGGGTTCTGTTTGGGTTTACCCCACTTCGCGACCCGATTCTCCGTAGCAGGAAGTCGTTGGCCCAAAGCACTTGGTATGTACAGTAGCGCTCAAAAGTATTCGACAAAATGCTTCTTCAGTTGTACTTTTCAGTCGTAACTTTTTTCCTACTGGGTCTAATCATGCGAGATTTCAATATGTGTGGCATGTTTGTATAGTGGATACTTACCACTATTAACCTGCAATCTGATCGTATTCCGAATTTCCCTAAGGGCTTGAACTCAAAATCAACTGCAACTACAGATATTGGTCTTTCTACGATACCTTTCCTTTTTGCCGTGTCTTAAGTGTACGAGCGCTAATACCGAACACAGTAGAGAGGAATAAGCACATAAGGTGCGAATAGCTGCAGACGCCACTACCTTTGCTTAAGCGAATTTTGCTACCGCAAAAAAACATCCTGCCCTCACTTAGGTGGCTATCGCTGCTTTGCCGTCAAACAAGATTGTTTCGTGTGAAATATGGTTTGGTTGAACTTATCAAAACTTCGCGCGATTTGCTTCACGAAGAAAAACCGTGAACGCATTTGGCCGAATACTTTTGAGCGCTACTGTATTCATGACAGAATACATCAGGCATATTGTGCAGCACTCTAACAGCTGGTGAATTCTACACTTAAAAGACGGTCACGGCAGAGCTATGTCGCTGTGTGCGCTGAACACGTTTCAGCGTAGCAGTCGTGACGAAAGCTTCGAACCCATTCTTTGACTGGCAGATTAGAGGGGTTCATCACAATACCTCCGAGAGACGCACAGCGTGTGAAGTTCGTCTCTACTATTGCAACTCCAATCTGAGTGATTGTTCATGAAAGAACCAAAAGTAATTGTTCTGAATCAGGAAGCGTACGGACCTCCTACCTCTCTTAGTTTGACATCTAAGCGATGAATGTGTATTTGCCAGAGCGGTACTTCATTATCGAGTACATGGACGGTTAAATTTAAGAATCTTACTATATATTATTCCCAAGGGAGTCTTCATGCGTGGTGCTTTGCCGGAAATGCATGAAGTCTGTTTTCTTGGACTCGAGCGTCACGATTTCCATAAATGGAGGCGGCGGGGCAACGTTAACACAAAAAGCAAGAGGGCCCTTATTCTGGCCGGTCTGACTGTAATATTTTATCACTGATTCCTAATTTCCGGAACATCTGGATTCCGTGCCTAGCTCCACTTGTCGAATGGGTTTTTTCAGAAAGACTCGTTTTTATATTTCTGAATGACTGAATGCTTTGCAAACACATGGAATACAGATTACACTTGTAATCTTGCTGGACAAAGGGTGAAAGTGGAGTAAAAACTATATCAATTATGTAAGACTTATTTCAACGGGAACAAAAGAGGAAGTTAATATTGACAATAACAAACTAAGAAGTAAAAAAAGAAAGGATGCTAATGATTTTCGATACTACCTCAAAAAAAAAAGATGCGCTTGAGGAAGCACTTTACGATGCAAGACTGCCGATGATGGTAGAACGTACAAATACCTTGCCGCGCAGCCTACAGTCAGAATTGATTCTGCAGGAGATCATGACGATCATGGAAGTTCGTTTTTCATTACAATTCCCAGGAACTTTTTCTAGTAAAGGATTAGAATTGAACAAATATGGGTTTTTCATGCTATATTTACACCTGCACTTCCGTCAATGTTTACGCATTGGATACGATCAAGTCCAACAACTGAACCAAACAACCAGATTTTTTGTTTTATTAAAGACTTTTATGAACTTTTTGAACTGCTTTGTGTAGGTTCACTTCTACGAACCCCTTTTTCCGTGCGCCATGCAATCGATTTGACGCAGAAGCGTAGATCCATTGAAAAGCATGTTGCAGATCAGCATAGTATTGGAAAACCCTATTCCATCCATCCAGAATCGCCTA